GGTGGCTGTCATCCAGGTATCCATTCTCTTATACATCGCTCACGTTTTGGTACCTTTCCTATGGAGCAAGAAAATAGATCCGGATAACAGTGCCATTCCAGGTCTCACTATTCAACACATTATCATTTATTACTATTAATTATCGTTAAACTGACCACTAATTATAATTGATAGGCATAATGGCAATGGGAGATCTCATCGGAACCGCGTTATTAACCATCGCTTTCTTGGTTTTAGTCACTTTCGGCGATCCCAATGCTGTCAGCAAACAAATTAATGAATTATAAGCTATTGTTTTATATAACTTTTTCAAAGCTGGTCCTTATTTAATACAGAAAAATGTCATTTAATTGTAAATATATTCAGCATTTATTCAAGAATTTTAAATAAATTTCATGTATTCTTGTATCAATATATCATGTAAGCCTAAAATGTTTTATTTATTTCTAAACAGTACTGAACTCTATCTACAAAATATACTAACAGAATAATCATTCAAAACTATTTAATACTGAATATAATTGATGTGTTATTATATTCTGGAATTTTATGAAACATTTATTTAAAAATCAATTATTAATTATGTCTTACGTAAGACAAAAGGTATTGCAAAATAAAATGATAAAATGGGTAATCAAATTCATGTGCACAATACGTAATAGTGCACTTCATTATAACTGTACACTTCATAACTAGTTATAACACGTTTAGAGTAAAGAGTTTACATGTTATCAGAGTTTTAAAAACTTATGTAAAGTTTCAGACCGGAAGAGAATCGCCCGAAAGGTATATTCAAATCATACAAAATCAGTGGTATTTGAATAATTAAAATACACATCACTTCCTGTTCACCAAAATTGTCAAAACATATTTCGGATTCAATAATACAAATGGAAATTTCTTTTTGTTAATCAATCAATGACTGAAAACAAATTGATTAAAAAACACAATAAAACGCAAAAATAATTATCAATTATTTTATCAGTTACTGTATATATTTAATGTGTATAGAAATATCACGACAATTCTTTGTTTACTGTATAAATGATAGCAAATATTTTTTAAATAATTTATTAGTTTAAAATAGTTTTAGAAGAATTTGTGCCAATTATAGTCCCAATTTTGAGCCCAAAAATATGTGCTTTAAAACCATTTAACTGTCATTTATTTGTATGTTTTGATAATAACTAGTCGTTAATCTATCGAGTGTTTAGTAATCTTTATGATTGGTGTTTAATAATAATGTTTAGTAGAGTTACCACTATATACTAGAAATATCACGAGAATTTACCATGCTATCACGTGACCACTTGCTAAATTTGTATACACCTATAATTAACCAAGTTTTGCTCATACATCTAGGCATTTAAATCTATTCACCCTTCAATTGTTTTTTATTCTTATTATTTGATATGATATTTTAAAGTGTCATGCTTATTATTACATTCTTGATGACAATTTTTTTCCATAGAAGGTTATTGACAATAACTTATTGTATTATTGTCCAGGTCGATTATTTCATAATTGTAATTGTAATAATAATTGATTGGTTATTAATGATAATGATGAATGGAATAAATGATAATTAATAATAAACAATTATTAGCTGGTTTGTAAATTACCACAATTACCACAACATAGCAATTTAAGACACATATTTTTAAATTTTATTAAGTTTGTTGATTAAACAATACAATTTTATTATTATTACGTTTTATAGTACAAAATTTATATGGTTAAGAATGTTCAGATATATGGCTTTACATGCTTTAAATTCTGTTCAGGAATATTCCTTCTAAACACTTAATTTTTGTTATAATTTATAAATATTTTAAATTATAATAAGAACATTGAATGCTTTCGATTAAAACTTACATATTTAACAAATATATTATCGTATTTATTAATACAAAATTTAAACGCGAAACTAATTAAAAAACCAGATATACAGTAGATAATTAAAATATGAATGAATTGATGTTAAAACATGTAACGGACGACTCTATGAATTAGTTTGACGTTATCGCTGTTGCAAAGCATTTCTATGCAAACAAATCGAGATATTGGTTGTATCGCTGTATATATGAAGTCGTGTTGTTGTATAGCAAAAGGCACTCGTATTTTGTTTCAGTACGTGATTTATACGACACTCATATGTAGTCTCAATACAGACATTGCATTCACTGCTATTCCCAACACATCACTAAATCGTGTGAATCGGCGATGAGCAAGGTGATTTGGTCATTTGGTGTTAGCCATATCATATAATCAGATCAGATGTAATCAATTCAATTGTCAATTATAGTCAACGAAATATATATTTATTTTTGCAATTTATGGGCTAAACGTCGGTATGTATTGAATCATACATTCATTACTTCATTGTTTGCGTTATATTTTGCACTCAATTTTGTAATCGTTTCTCAAAAAATCAATTTTTAAATCAATATTTCGTTGGAAATGATTAGTAAATTGTGTTTTCCTTTTCAATGTCTTCCCAAAGGGTTTTGAGTTTTCAATTCAACATTCAATTAGTATTAAGCAATGGATCCGTCGGTCAAACAGTTTTATTTGGGAGACGAAGACGTGTTGCCGACACTGGCGTCGGTCGAGATCGTGGTCGACGAGTGCACACCCGGTGTCGGCTCCGGACCCGACCATCCCTTCCCCACACCCGAAGACACGGCCAGTGGTTACGTTTACACCGATTGCCAAACGTATTGCTTCTATAACAACGACTGTCTGAACGGTGCCATCACTCCGGAGTCCAAGAACTCGTCCAACGCGTCCCTAATATCGTCCAACAGTACGGCTAAAGAGGGTATAGACTTCACGGCTCTCCAGACGATTGTGGAGAGCGCTATACCGCCGAAGGGCGGCGACGGTGACGGCCTGTCGTCGGTGTCGGGCGTCTGTATTCATCGCGAAGAGGCCTTACTGTCAACGAGTGTCCAAATATTCATCGCGTTTATCATCGCGGGCTTCGGTAACGTCGGCGCCGGTCTTATTCTGGACAACGTTCAGAATTGGACGGTCTTTGTGTCCATAAGCGAAATGTTTGTTTTGGTGCCGTCGCTGTTGGGCCTGAAGGGCAACCTCGAGATGACAATGGCTGCCCGACTCTCCACTCACGCCAACTTAGGCAATATGCAGAACTGGAAGCAGACCCTCAAACTCGCCAAAGGCAACATCGCTCTCGTCCAATGTCAGGCCACTATCGTCTCCGCATTGGCCGCCATTATTGCCATCATTTGGAGCTCATTCGGGAAGGGAATCATTTTAAACAACTGCCTGACTCTTTTGGCCAGCAGTTTAATTACGGCTAACGTCGCCTGTTTTGCACTCGGTTTGTCTTTCACTGCCAACCCTCTCTCTCTCTCTCTCTCTCTCATGATTTCAAACAAGGCTATCAATTAATGAAATTAATGAATAAAAATCATTGCCTTTTGTGCTAATTATTGTAATTGATTTATAATAATATCTTATACATGACTTTTCTAATATTATTAACCAATTAGCCTTTTGTCGGATATTTTTGCAGTTATTCCCAGAAAAATCAGAACTCATATACAGGAAAGGGCTTCCATTGAATTAAACATAGAGTAGAGATATCTATCACAATATACATGTATATTGAAATGAATATTAATGTATCATAAAGTAAACGAATACAGAATATTCTGCATTTGTGCTCACTTTTCACGTAATGAGAAACCTATAAAATCTATAAAACTGATCATTTCTATAAACTTCTATAGAAATCATTTTTATAATTTAAAAAACCAATAGTAACTTACCATTAATTCATCGCCAAATTAGTAAATATATTGTAATTTTAATTAATTTATAACAAAATTTCAATTTTTATAAATTGATGAAAGCTTGAGGTTAAATAAAATGTTCCATTCATCAAATACAGTTTTAGTAAGAATTAAAGTTAATTTTAATACATATTCTCACAGAATATTCTATAACTTTTCACCTTTTCATATTATTTCAGATTAAAAATTCTCATAAAAGTGCTATTTTCCTATTTGTTTGACATTTTAATGCGTGACTAAAATTATATACATTTAGGCATATATTTTATTAACAGAATAACAAAAATTTTCAGACAATTATGTATACTATTAATAGTGGATACAAATTATTCGTATGGATTCCAAATATATACAGTCTATGTCTATGGCATATATAAATAGCAAATATGTTGTATTCAATTCGTGTCAACATTTCATTACTAGGAGAACACAAAATCGGATCTCAAAACTCATTAAAACACTACTAAAATAGAAGTCACCATTTTTAACAACATTCATTCCAACCAATACTCATTTCCAATTGTATCTACAATTAATTTATACATATTATTGTTATATTAGCTGTTTTGCCATAAATATACCATCAATTATATATAATATCACATCTGTTTGTGTGTCTAAACGCTTAAGACTGTTTAATCGTTTGTTTAAAATGTTTGAATTGCATAAAGATATTTAGCAAACATGACAAAACAAAGTAATGTTCACCGCATATAAATCTGTCAATATAAAATTAGTTTTTATTTTGTATCACCCAGTTCAATTATTTTGGGTTCAAAATGTTGAGTATTCTAATTGCTTCAAAGAATAAAAACAAATTACAATACTTATGAAATAATCTAAATTCATATACAGGTACTGTATTAATGCTAATAAATAATTTGAAAGAATATGACCTTTAGATAACTAGAATAACGTTTAACATATCAAATTAATTTAGCCATGCTCATACTTTATATAGATGCTTTACCAATTTAATACTTAAATATCAAAGTAATTCAACGCTTATTTGAATAATAGTGGAATAATTGTCGTTTTTGTAACTCTTTATATGAAATAAAAGTACTGTAGTGTCGACTGAAACAAATGTTAATATAATTTAGCGAAACAACTGATAATATAATAAATATTTCGTTCAATACATCTCTCGCTAATATCGGAGCGAAGAGTGAGTCTCCAATTTCTGCTAATTTTCTTGTAATGCATTTCTCGTTATTTCTATATATATGTTACATATATATAAGATTGGGCTCTGATTTTGATTAACACATAATTGTTGTCTTGAGAGTTGAGCCCCAAATGTAATGGCAATCGAAAGGAAATAAAAGTTATAATTATATCTATTATTGATTTTTAGTAAAGTTATCACTAATTGATTGCACGAATGCAATGGTAGTCCAAATTAAATAAGAGATACAATAATATTTTACAATAAAAAATTTAAATAAAATTTATTTATTTATAACGAAATAATTTGAGTTTACATTTGATTTTATTGTCTAAAAATGTCAATCAAAATATATATTTGCTTTAAAACTGGTGTGAAAAGAGATATTCAAGATTTAAAACTATACCTAAAATACACAACTTTGGAAACAGCAATAGCGGTGATTATGCACGAGTAAATCGACCATCATTTTAATCTCAACTATATAACCATGGGATGAGTATACTGGGCACTAATTCTCACTCACAGGTTTATCTAACTAGATCTATTACATTCAAACTAAATATCTCACACAACTGTCAGGTATAACAATGAGAAATGCACCGGTAATTAGTGAACACACCCTCTATTGACCGCAATTATGGGCTTAAAAATGTCTAAAATGTAAACTAAATCAATAAAATTTATATAATTTAAATGCTTTTATATAACAAACTCTCACTTTTGTTTTGACTATAATATGTTAAATTGACAAAATTGCCGCAACACTTAAATTTGAGTTAACAATGAGTGTGGTGGCAACAATAATACTATTGAACATGGGAAAAATTAATACTGTATTAACAGTAAATACGAGTCCCATGGTTTTATCTCTCATCGTAAATAACAAACTGTTCATCAGGTTATAAATCTATTATAAGGCACAACACCACTACTACTGCCCCCAAATGTATATCATTTAAAATATTAAAATATTAGCCCAAAAAGTGTTAGAAAAATTTAGCCACTGATTGACATAAGAGAGTTTGGATCCCCGGTTAGAGACAGTATTCGGAAAACTATTAGTAGAAAAGCAGAGCCCAAGAAATCACCCGAAGATGTCAAGAGAGGGATTGCATACGAGTCGGGATCGATCCCTTTTAGCCATAGGATATGAACCAAATTGTATGCCATATATAGTAATAGCGATACCTTTCAAATACAAACAATACGTTTAAATTTTCAGGACACACATTACCGTAAACTACTTCAGTTGAGGACAAGTCATCTGTCAATCATTGTTCGAGTGGTTCATCAAATCATCAAAAACACAACTCAAACAATAATAACATTTGAAAGTGTCATTCAATTCGTTTACAAAATGGTTAAGCGTTTCATACAATTTAGAGATAAAAGTTTTCAAAAATGGTTAAATACCTGAAGTAATGCAAAGAACAGATAGAAGACAAAGAAAGTAGTGGTTAATTGCATTTTATCACTTCCATCGACCAGTCGTATGACAACGATGTATAGTATGTGTGCCGGCAGTGCCATCAGTAGTAGTATACGCGAAGTCTTTATATTCATATCTGGCGTTTGGTAACAAAGAGAGGACCAATGGTTGTGTGAAAACTGATTGTAAGATAAAACCATTGAAACAATACCTTTGTTTGAGAAGAACGCCTGAATCGGTGATGTAAACGCTTGAAAGCCCGGGAACAGCACTCCTGGACTGCCATACCTATGAAGAGATGTCGAAATACGACTCGCGTGAACCGCCACTAAATTTCCTCCGACTCTGTTTAAGACAACAAATAAAATATATATTAAAACATAACAATTGATGAAATATTTGAAAACTACAACAAACCCATTGATTATTGGTTGGAATAAAGCTATCCTTTTGTAAATGAGAACACCGTAATCGAGTATAAATCCGCCACAACTTGAGATCATCATCGCCGCAATCACAGGATACCATCCACTGGTGACCACATCACGAGTGTACTCGTTAATGGTCGCCAAATACAGCCACAACGGCAACAGCGCCAGAAAGAACAATATGATTGAGATCGCTATATACGGGAATTGATCCGTATTTGACGTGTGGTTGTGAATCAATTCAGCAAAACATGCCAACAGTGCGGCAGTTGTCACGTCTCCCAGACTGGCGGCGATAGGGGTCGCGATGTTGTCTATGCAAATCAAGAGACAAACAAATAAACAACAATTATTGTCGTCATTGTCATAGGATTTGTGTCGCAACCAGTGTTGGAGAGTACATACCGGGGTCTATACGGATCTTATCGCACAACACAATCAAACATATCATACAAGAACCTAATGAAGTGAAACAAAGTGTACGATAAGTAATACGTCAATGAGGCAGGAAGGAGAGAGAGAGAGAGAGAGAGAGATTTAATGATCTAAATTGAAAATTTTATTCTTAAAGTAAAATAACATTAATATTTGCTAAAAAAAAGTTTTTTCGCAGAATTTATAAGAGGAAAGGCTTTTGCGAGGAATGAAGTGAAGGCCTTTCGGTGTAAGCGATGAAGAATCCAATTTGCGTTCACTCTTTAGTCTACACTTTAATATTCATTAATGATGTGCTGTTAATGGTGTGGAATGGTATGTATGCCTCTATCTATTCAACCAATATGTATGCTCTTAACAACTCTAACAATAAACGATTCATCAAAAAACAGGCGGAACTATACCTTAATTTACATTAGATTTGCAAAGAATTTACACATAAAAAACTTCGTATACTTTAATAATAAACTGAGGACTCATTGAGAGTCTATGAGAGTTGACAGTAGTTTCTCCTCTCAAATGATCGCACAACTCATTCATTCACTAAATTCACTGTTATTTATAACAATTATGGTTTAGCCGTGTATTTGACATCAAATTCATTATGAGTTTAATTTAAATAATAATAATAAAAGGATGGCTTCGCGCAAAAAAAGATTGAGTTAATCAGTGATGCAATTATATACACCACTATTAAAGTGAATTGAAAACAAGAGACAAAACTCTCTCCTCTTATCTCTAATGTAATATTAATTAAAAACAGGAATACTATTAATACGATTCTAAAGCCAAACATAAAAATTCAAATGAATTCAAATTTCAAATACAATTATATACTGACAACAAAAGGACTGAATATAATTAGGGCTTAATTCTAATGCCAGTATTTTTCTGGTCAGCCCTTATTTAATCAATTTCTTCCTTATATATAGAATATTAGTATAACTTATATATTGAGCTAAAGATTAGATAAAAAGCGAATTCTATTAAAGTTTTAGTCAGAATATCATTACTTGTATTTTTTAAGTCTTTTCGAGATTAAAATTTTGTTTTGAATTCCTTCGATGCATAAAAAATATATCAATTTTTAATAAATAATCGATATTTTATTAAAACGAATCTCATATACAATACTCTATACACACGTATACTCTATACATAACTCTAAAAATTCTTACCACTGTTTCAATGGGAAACACATAGTTTGATGTGCCGTTAAAAGTGATGATAAAACCAGTGACTGACTGTTGAGATAAGTCGAGACGAGCGATGTTTGTCCCACTTATGGTTCACTTAAGACCGACACAATTATATTGATATCGCAGTGGCTTTTAATATCACACCAAATAGAGAGAGAAAAACACCAAATATATTAGAGTCGAGCACTGGATGTGAAGTGATGTTTGGTTAGTCGGCCGACACATCGACTTTATTGCCGCATGCGATCTGATGCCCACACTTGCGCTCATACATACACAGCCACAGAATATTCTGCTATTATATTCTGTCGTTGTTCACCAAATAATTGCATTATTGCCAACACTTTTTCAATTATTCCTAATTCCGAAAACCCTTAATCGAAAACATCTACTTTCGACCAAATATTATATTAATTCAATTATACGCCGATTAGAATGTATTGTTTATCTTATGGTTTGCTTATTCTTATCGCCAAATATATTGTCCTATGATTTCTGATTATAAAAATTAATAATAAAAGACTCGAATTACATGTTAAACAAAGTGGAAAATAATTCGATACATTTAAACAGAAAATTTAATTTATATGAAAAGTTTGTTAACAATTTGTAATCTATTGTTCAATTTATATTAGATTTTATTTAATCTGATTTCAAACAAGGCTATCAATTAATGAAATTAATGAATAAAAATCATTGCCTTTTGTGCTAATTATTGTAATTGATTTATAATAATATCTTATACATGACTTTTCTAATATTATTAACCAATTAG